GTATAAAATAGCAGGAGCATTTTAGAATTGTGATCACAAGGAAAGAATTTTTTCATGGCCTTACTAGGAGCTTTCCGATTTTTGAAAGCATTTACTTTAGTTCAAGGGTTTAAGAATAAAAGAAAATAAAATACTTCAATAATAAATAAGCATATATATATATAAGGTAGTAGAAAAATCTCTTGACCAGTAAAGTGGGCATGTAAATCAGGGGATTAAAGTTTTAAAACACTTAAGTACAAATGTTTTCCAATACTGATAAACAATATACACTGCCCTCCAAAAGTTAAGGAACAGCATGCTTTTTGCGTCTAATTTGAGAATGAAGCAATATAGAAACAAGACATTTAAAGGACATGTTCATTAAACAGTTCTTTAATAAATGTGACATAGAAGGTTTCTATGTCATATATATAAGTTCAAAACAAATGTAAATTATAACAAAAAATTTCACACTTGGCAGAGAAATCTAGTTTTGGAGAAACAGTATATCACAGTTTTTTAGGGAAAAAGGGGGTGGTAACATTACAAAAACAGGTTCTATTAAGGAATGTGTCCACCCCTAGCTACAATACATTGGTGGCAGCGATGTTGCATGCTGTCAACAACCTATCTCCCAAGGTAGTTTCAAAGATATCCTATTGGATTCAGGTCTGGGGACTGAGCTGGCCATTCTATCCATTCCATACCATGACCCTCAACATATTCTTTAGAAACCCAAGCTCAGTGCGGTCATGCATTGTAGGCCATTAGAAGAAGTCCCGGACCAATAGCAGCAGCATATGGGCAGGACATCTCACACCGGTCAAAGTTCCTCCATGGGACACATGCAAGTCAGTATGACCAACAAGAGATACTCCAGCTCAAACTGTTATTCCACCACCTCTGTAATTGTGTCTTTCCTCAGTACGAGATTGGTAATATCTGGTGCGCTGTTCCCTCCAGATCAGCCGACGACTTGAATCCCTCTCTAATGTGAACCTGGACTTGTCTGTGAAGAGAACAGATGCAAATTGTTGAATCGTCCAGGAGATGTGTTCTCTTGCCCAATACAAACGTGCACTGCTGTGTCCTCGGGTGAAGGGGACACAAATAATTTGTTGTCATACAGACCTGTATTGTGCACGAATCTGCTCACTGTAGTAGCTGACATTCTTGTTCCTGTTGCCACTAAATGATTTGCCATGAGCTGAGGCACTTCTCCTTTGGGCTGAAAGAGATAAATAACGGTCTTCCGCAGGTGCTGTAACTCTAGGGTTGCCTGGAACATGTCTTCTAGACACAGAATCTTCAGATTCAAACTGATTCCATAGTTGGTGGACCACACTATGAGAGACATTGAGACGTCTAGATGCATCAGCTTGTGACATCCCTTTTACTATCATCCAATCGCCCAACACCTCAATGAATTGGGCAAAAGATTTCTCCTGGACATTGACAGGCTCTCCTAGATATTGTCCACGAAACTGTAATAACAAATGAAGATCGACACTTGTGAACAAAAATTACAATTTTGGCATTTTTCCCTCTAACTCCTATATAAGTATTCATTTCTGTAAAATAACAGAGATAGCTATTGTTTTTGCATATATTTTCTTAAACTTCATTACTGTCATGCATATGAACCATGAATTTAAACGTTACTGACATTTTTGTAATGGTGAGCTTTTAAAAACATGCTGTTCCTAACTTTTGGAGGGCAGTGTACGAGGGCTATCCAGAAAGTAGATTACGTTTTGGAATAAAAAAATAAACAAAGTATAGGAAACAAATTTTATTATATACAGATGAAAGCCACACTCAAATACTACTTTTCTACATAGTCACCATACAAATTAAGGCATTTATCGTAGCGATGTACGAGCTTGGAAATTCCTTCGTCGAAAAATTCGGCCGCCTGCGCCTTCAACCACTTCGTTACCTTTTCTTGCAGCTGTGCGTCGTCATCAAAACGCTGCATAGCCAGCCACTTCTTCATTGCTGGGAATAGGTGGAAGTCGCTCGGTGCCAGGTCGGGACTGTACGGCGGATGAGGAAACAACTCCCACTTAAAAGATTCAAGAACTTTACGAGTGACATTTGCCGTGTGGGGCCGGGCGTTGTCGTGAATCAACAAGATCTTAGAGCTCAACATTCCTCTGCGCTTGTTTTGAATTGCTCTTCTGAGTTTTTGGAGAGTTTGGCAATACCTTTGAGAGTTTATTGTAGTGCCTCTTTCCAGGAAGTCCACCAAAATTACACCTTTTCTGTCCCAAAAAACAGTCGCCATCATCTTCCTTGCCGACATTGTTTGCATGCATTTCTTGGGTTTTTGGGGAGAACTTGTGTGCCCCCAATGCATTGATTGCAATTTCGTTTCACAGTTCACATGTTTCACCCATGTTTCATCACCAGTAACGATGCGATCGAGTAAAGAGTCACCATCCTTATGGTAAGCGTCCAAAAAGTTCAACGCTGCAGCCATTCACTGATTTTTGTGGTCCTCTGTCAAGATTTTTGGAATCCATCTTGCACAAAACTTGTGGTAACCAAGCTTTTCGCTGATGATTTCGTGCAACAAACTTCGCGAAATTTGTGAAAAACTCAAAGAAAGTTGCGTTATTGTGAAATTTCGATTTTCACGGACTTTAGCATCGACTTTTTTGAGAAGTTCGGCGGTCACTATGCTAGGTCTCCCACTTTGATCTTCGTCATGAACATTGGTTCGGCCATTTTGAAATCTTATGACCCACTGACGCACTCCACCTTCAGTGATAATGTTGTCCCCATACACTTCACGAAGCTGCCGATAGATTTCTATCAGTTTACAGTTTTTTGCAGTCAGAAACCTTATTACTGAGCGCACCTCGCGGGATTTTCAATTAACGCAGACATTTCAAACCGTCACAGTATCTGAACGGAGCACAGCACGAACCTCTCACTAGCACGGCTAGATGCAGACTGAGCTGCGCAACGCTCTGACCCCAAGATGGCCGCACTAGCCCCGCCCCTAGCGGACACAGACGGAAACGTAATCTACTTCCTGGATGGCCCTCGTATATAAAGAAAAGAAACTGCATAGAGATTCAATATACAATATACTATATCATATTACATATATAATTATCTATACTATTAAAATCTGTGCACACTTGTCTGTTTGTTTGTGGCATTAATCCCCTCTGGACCAGCGGGGAGTTGAGCTTCGAGAAAAAGAGCCCCAGATTCCAAAAATTCATGGAAGCCATTTCAACTATTCTCATCTTTGTATGACTTTAATTAGCCAAAATTAGTAACAACTCAGAAAAACACTAATTTTTGTCTCAATTTTCTGAGTGGCAACAGTCTCACACACTGGAAATGAAAATTTGTTTTATTTCAAAAAGTGTTGCCAGTGCTGGCTTTCAAATTGTAGACTTTGTTAATAAAAAATTTCCAAGTTTTACAAAATATGAAATAAAAATAGCATTGCCAAGCATTAAATATATTATTCCCAATTCCAAAAATTTGTGAGGAGCCATTTTGACCATTATCATCTTCAAACGACTTTAATCTGCTAAGATATTAATTAAAAACTTAGAAAATGCCAATTTTCACACTCATTTTTCTGAATGGCAACAATCTTGTGCACTGGAGATAAAAATCTGCTTTATTTCAAAAAGTGTTGTCACTGCTCGCTTTCAAATCATAGACTTTGTTAATAAAAAATTTCTAAGTTTTACAAAATATGAAATAAAAATAGCATTGCCAAATTTTAAACATATTATTATATAAGGTTATATTCTGACATTAAAGAAATCATGTGATTGCATGTGACGTCATTATATGTCCAAAATTTTTCATTAATGTCAGCATTTTAAATAAATAGCTGCTGTTAGCAACTTTTTTGTTTTAGGTTACTATAACTGACATGATACATTAACGTCACACTAATTATTTTATTGATATTGAGAAAATGTTGTTATATTACATTATATTAAAATTATGACATCATACATATTAACCTAAAGTGTCAAAAGTTTTTTGCTTCCCGGTTTGGCAATATAAAATTACTTATGAATTGGTTGTTGCTTGGAAAGAATGAACTGATTTGATTCATACTGTAATGTTTCTAACATTTGCTTTTCTAATGTACATAGAACTTATAAATTTTCCTTTGGCTGCAGCACGCTCATCTGGCGGGCTTGCCTACTAATGTTATTATAACTACTGATTTAAGATCAAGCCATTATTCCTTACTATTTGCACAAGTTAACATAGTAAATATTTAACACATTTTTAGTTATAACTGTGATTCATTGAGAATATTCAGTTTACTTTTGTAGTTTCAGTAACTGAAATCTTAGACCTGAGGCATAACAGGTTAAGGTGAAAAGGTGAACTGACTTCTTCTGTAACTAAATTCTTAGCACAATATATCAGTTAGATTCCATATGAAGACTTGGATTCAGATAGTTAGAAATTTTGTTAGAAGAAAAAGAAATAGTGATGGCCAGTTGAAGGCTGGATAATAACAGGCTAGTAATTATCAATATTAATGTTACGAATTTTGTACTTACTTAGATATTTTTAGTAGAATTATAATTGAAATTGTTTTATGTCCCTGTGCAATGTAGTGCATGACAAATTTTAAGAGGAAGCTATGCCAGAAAAGTAAAAATACAACAGCATGTGCATTTAACATTGAATAAAAGCTTATCTCTGTCTGTTATCTTTCCAGCTTTGTTATACTTATTCTGATAAGAATAAATTTTAATCTTTTTATCAGACTTGTGCGTTCAGTTTATTACGAACTCATACGCACACAAAACTAATAGTATTTTAATATAATATAGTATATATTTTAAGACAGCAAAATTTCAAATTAAATATTTCAGTGAAAGAATTCAATAGATTAAAATCAAGCTATTTTGTTATTTTTAAGGTGGATATTAACTTCATAACAATATAAGGAATTTCTTTCTCAATTTACTATAAATTAATCTACCAAAAAATAATACAGAGTTATTTTATTAACATACACATAGGTTTCAATTGAGAAACCAGTTCCTCCTTTGTCCATTCCTTTTTGTCAGCACAGTAACTGAGACTCGGTGTAACCAAAAGTTTGTTGTCATCACTGTAAGGGACATTCAGATAGTGCACTAGTACTATATCAGGATTCTGTATAGTAAAAAAAAAAAAAAAAAAAAAAAAAAAAATCAGAGAAGGAACTTTTATAACATGAAAAATGTACAGGGTGGTTATAATTAAAGTGACCGTATTTAGATCCGTCTAGAACTTGTTTTACTTCTAGAAATTTTGATGAAATTTGGTATACATGTTATATGGATCATGGGGAAATGATTTCTGCAATAAAAAATAGTTCGACAAGAGCCCTTTTTGCAGTCCCTTTAAACGATATTTATGCAATACAGCTAAGCTATTGCTACCATTCTGATAAAACAGTTTTACCAGTAAAGCTTGATCTTTTTTCTGTAAGGGCATGATTAATGGTGGCAAAGGCATGCAAAATGATTTTCTGGCTCTGACTGAAGGTCTTTTTATAGATTTGACTAATTTGCGTAAGGAATTTTTGAAAATTGGCACCTGGTGGTCAAATTTTGAACTATTTTTTTACTGCAGAAATCTGTTACCCATAATCCATATAACGCATATACCAAGTTTAATCAAAATTCAATCATCAAAGTCAAATAGGCAGAAAGGGTTCTACAGGGGATCTGAATAGAGTCACTTTAATTATAACCATCCTGTATTACAATTAATCTATTCAACTATCTCATAGTCCGGTTACATTCAAGATATCCACTTCATTAATAAAATGAAAATAAACTATTTGTCATTTTGAGCAAGATGAACCTGATATTATAGAATTTATCTCTTTGACTACAAGTGATTTCCATATTTTTCTATGCATAATCATAGGACAAATTCATATCTTGCACAAATCTCTGATGAAGAAACTTTTAATAGAATTTTGAAAAAGGTTAGGAAAGAGAAAATATTTTTGTTTTTTAGCGTACATATTGCTCCAGCAATATTCTTGTTTTCTAACAAGAATATTGAACAAAAATACATAAAAAAAAGAAATATAATTTTAATTTTGAATAGTATAATACATTGATTTACTCATATCTATACTTACATTTTCATCGCTTGATTCACAGCTATTTTAAATTTCATCATCTGTCTATTTAATCAATTCTGTGTTTAAACATTTTCCAAATTCACAGCAAAGATTTTTCTATACACCTGAATTACTCATGCACTTTTGACTAACTAGATTTATATACTGATGAAACAATTTAGGAAGTAAAACATTGCATATAAGCAATATTTAGAATAATATGAATTTCAAGATGCAAAATTATTTGAGGGATACACATTTTCTAAAAGCATAGTTGGTGATACACTGTCTTTCTCATTGGTATAAAGGGTAGTGCTCCTGGCTAATGTATCATTCATTAGGTTTGGGGTCAAATCCTGAAAGCATGAATGTTTTCAGGATTATGGGAGCAATTAAAATACATGGTGAGCCAGAAGTCCTTCTGATTAGTTTGGTGATGGAGGAAAAGAGGCAGAAGACTCTTGAACTTATCCCTTGCGGTGAACTCCATCAAAATTGGGATCGCACTGGGCAAACTAATACTGTTATCTATATGGTGCTCAAATAAACTAAATTAAACCAATATGCAACTAAACTAATTCAGATGCATGAGAGCTAAATGTCAAATTAGGCTGAAGAATAGAAATATATATACACACACATAAGCATTTCTCATTTTTAATAAGCCTTGATTGATGATTGAGAAGCATTGTCATCACAATGAAAAACTTCTTTTACAATATCTTCATTTATTACCACTTCTGCACATTTCTTTACAAAATCCGTTAATTGAAAATTTCACTTTTGTTTTGCGATATAAAAAAACTTTTAAAATTTGCACCTATCATCGTCAAATTTAGCTATCGTTCACTTATACATATTTGGCTATGCATCGTGAGTTTGGCGACTAAGCTATTCCGTTAAATTTTATCTTGCTTCTATTGCGCATTAAGACAATGAAGCTTGAATTGTATTAGTTTAGTTATTTATTATACTTATGTCTATTTCTTGACATGCTTAAGGCTTATCAAGAGTTCTGAATAAATAAATTTCCATATATACTTAAGCCTTATTGAATGCTGGTGCTAGATATCTTACCGCCTGATGCAGTCTCTGTGGGTCTTAAATTCTGCAACCTGGTGCCACCTTACGAGGCCTGGTGCTGGTTCTGGGTTTACGTGAATAACATATCAGTTATTCTTAATTCAGATAGCCCTAAATGTAATCTTTAGGGCTATGAGTATCATCAACAAAATCTATTTTTAACATATGGAAAGAAATTTTTGTTAAATTTTTCCTTGTCAACATTTTTTAGCTCATTTAACTTTAATCTGCAAACATTGCCAAGTGTAATGTCAACATAAAATGTTACCATACTCCTTTGTTATTCAATTATTAACATGAAAAAAATTGTTTAGGCATTGCTAGATGAGTCATTTACTCAAGTTTTCAGGCTGTGATGAAAGGAAAGTATAATAAATAATGATTCACCAGGTTGGTGTCAAATTAAAAATGTATCTATGTGGAATGTTTCGGTTTAAGATGTGTGCCAAGCAGATACGCAGCAACGGAGCCAAATTACCGATGGTACAAATTTATGCTAAAATGATTGTTTCTTCAATAACAAGGTTATTTATTTAGTGTTGAAGTGAAATTAAGAATCGGAACTCTCCATGTTTAATTATGTGAAGAGGGGGGAATCAAATGCTCATGCGTAAAGCCTATGAGAAAAACGTTATTGGTGGTTTTGAGGTCCGGATTTCAGATCATTCCAGATAATGGATGTCTGGATTTCAGACTTTGTACTGTACAAAGACATACTAAAACATAAAACTGGAAATGCATTTTAAAACTTAAAAACAAGACAAATATGTTGTAATTTCTGTATTTCCCTCCTTTTATTTTAAAATGCACAATTAGTTGATTTCTAGCCCTGCAGAAACTTGAATTACTAAGAAACCTCCTTGCTCACCTGCAATAACCAATAACAACGACGATGAAATGTAGGAAGAATGGCTGAATGCACGTAACATCCATATATACACTAAAAAGATAAAAAAAAATTAAAACTATATCATATAAAATGCAATGAAACAAGACAACAGTAGGTATTATTAATGTAAAACTTTATAACTTTATTAACTTCAATAAAAGTAAACAAGCAATATAAACAGAAAAATACATAAAATTCTTAATGAAGTACACAATGTAATTTAACATATAAATATATTGATTATGCTTCGTTGAACATTAAAATAACTCAAAAACTACCAGTACTTTTAAGAAAATAAATAAACTTTAGCATTAATAATTACAACAGCTTTCTTAAAAACAACTGCTCTGGAACCTAGATGAGAATATCACATATGCAGTATAGTTACAACCAGCATGTCTAATTCTGATATCAGATTAAAGTGCATTTTACATACTACATAAATCAAAAAGTTAAATTCAGTTCTTACAGTCTAGGCAAAATTACTTTTTTTTGGCTAATTGTTAATTCAATACAACTAATTTTTTTAATAGACTATGATCAAGCACAAAATGGCTATCTATTTAGCACCTAGTTATCGATTACATATGCCTGTTTTACTAACAAAACAGCTTTCTTTAAATTATTTATTCATTTCTATATTGTTATTTATTTATTTCTACATTTAATTTTTTGTCAGAGTAGCTAGTACTGCATATGCCAGGCATGGCCAAAGTGCGGCTCTCTAAGACTTCAATTCTTATGGCTCATGACCTTGAGGCTCTTTGGCACTTTAAATGAGACTTGCTCACAACAAACAGAGGTTTAATTTTTGACATATAATTGCCTTTTGAAATCGAAATAATGCAATGGAACTTTTTTATTAATTACTAATTTGCTTGAAGTAGATTATTTATGTAATATTTTAATTGATTTCAAGCTTTCTGCCACAAGTTTATTACCAGAATAAAAAACAGAATTGCAAATAATTCTATTTTTGCCAATTTCTATCACAGTCATATTACTTTTAGAGCAGATAAAGAGCATCAGGTCAGCACATAATACACCTTGCAAGGGCAGCAATTTAAAATTAATGCTCTCAAATGTTTTTACTCGGATCAATTTTATTTCAGTTTCTGCTTACATTCATTCTCTGCAAATTCCTTGCTTTACAACAATAATCGTTATCTATTTTCTTGAAAGATTTGCTATTCTTCCTAGGATACTAGTGTTACTCAATCTTTGAATAGCTGGGGTAACTACTGAAAGAAACTTGTTCACGGCAGAAAATCGCCGTCCATGTGGGAGCTCTTCTAATCCGAGGAAAATTTAGAAAACTGTGGATTTTACAGTTAGTCCTTTTACAAGTGAGCTTCAAAGTTAATTCCCCATTCTTAAGCATGTCAGTTTTATACACTTTTCTTCACATTTTTTTGCAATTACTCACACTAAAGTGCTGCAGTTACACTCTTTGCACCTGAAACACACTTTTTCCCATTTCACATCTTTTGCAATAATGCTTTGATAATCGTAGGTAAAATTTATCATTTACGTAACCAGTGGTTGAGCAAGGTAAAGTTTTTGGGGTGGTGGAGAGAAAAGATTTCATTGGATTGACAATGATTTCCATTCTGCTCAAAATTTTTAATTCATATTTTGTTAAGTGCCATCATTTGTTTTCCTCCCATATTACTTGATGTACTTTTTCATTTTAGCCCTCCACAAATATCACATTAGGCAACAGCCGGTGTGCATATAAGCATTCTGTACCACGCCACACTCATAGGGGAAAATCTGTACTTGTGATTGGACAGACTTTCCGATGACATCATTTTCTTTCGGCATAATCATGTTTAGATGGTATTTTTATGATTTTGTTTTAGACGAATGATGCGCATGAATGACACGGAAGCATGAAAACTGTTATTTGTTTCATTTGCAACAAAAACATTTAGCTGCAGCATTCTGCAGATGGCTTCCTGTTTCATGGAATTATACAATTATAAAATCTTTCAAGGATGTTGTTAATATCAGAAGCAATCTTAAGCACTTAGATGATATAAATAGCCGAGCTCATGAATTTAGTGCAAAAACTAAAAAACGACAATCTCAATCCAATTATAAAGGCATTGCGTGCTAGTAAGTATATTATTATTATTACTGCAATTTTGTTGCATTCTGTTCCTTTCATATTGCAAAAAATATTTTCTTTGCAAATGTTATATTATTTCCATGTTAATATCCATGCCTTTTTTAACATTCTGTTGCCTTAAGTGGAAGAAAAAAATGCATTCAGTATTGTCACTGAATTTAATACATGTATATAAGAAAAGAAACTTCATTCTCACTATTTTTATGGAAAGGTATAAAAGATATTACACATTAAAAAATGGGCAATATTCAAAAGGAATATTATTCAATTTAATATACATATCTCTATTTCTCTGTTCCAAATCTATATTTAGTCTAACTTCAAAAATAAATTTTACTTTTGCAGACTGATTATAAATATTGTGAATTCACTATGTTAGCTACCAATGTCCTTTTTGCTATTTCCGAAAACTGACTTGGCAGATGCAATCTTCGCAAGCTTGAGATGTTCAAGCTTTCGAAGATTGCATCTGCAGAGAATGGGTATATAATAAACATGAAATAATGAATTAGCAATCACAACACTTTTAATATGAATTGTTTTAAAGTAAGAATACATTTATTAAAAATCTCTGCACCTAATAATAATACAGATTTACGGAGTTAGCACAAGAAGAAAAAATACTTTTTCTTTCGAGGGGGGGGAATAAATTTTTTATATTAAATTCACCACACCAGTGTTGTAAGAAGTGTAATCTCATAGCAATAAAAATACAATGCACATAAAAATCGAAATGTAAACAAACCGTATGGAGGTGTAACCTCGAGCCCAAGCAAAATCAAGGCATTACTTAGGGTAGAAGAAATGATGTCATCAAAAGCCATATCCAATCACGAGAAGAGATTTTTCCTAAGTGCATGGCACTGTACAGAATGCTTATATGCAGCCAGTGTTATGCTGTCTGCAGCCAGATGCTTCTCAAATTTTTTACCTCTTTATTTTGCAGTCTAGTGTAACTGAACCAGTTATCCTGGGTCTTGTACCTGCACTTCAATTAGTTGGTATTTTTGATTTTCTAAATCTTCAATCATCTTGTATGCCTGGCATACCCTTCATGAACAATAGCCCAAAGGAATGTTGTACTACTACCTATTCACTAAGCATTAAAAATTTCATGTAATGCATTGTGAAGTTCTGCTGAATTTTATCTCCATAAACATTTTGTTTTAAACTGTGATCCTTCATTTTATAAAGTGACCTCATATGCATACAGATTCCACTTCAAAGAAGCTCTTGTTTTCTAGAGAACTCAAGTAGACCTCTACTTTTGGACTTTTAGCTTTTAGATCACACAAACATATGCAACCTCTCTCGACTTTAATAGATTAATATTGAAGTTCATATAAGGAATGTAGAGCACATTTATTAAAACTGAATTTAAGATTTGTTGGCGCTATCATTAAATCTGGTTCTGCATCTTTAAACCTGGCATTAGAACTCTACATTCTTCAACTATTATGTAACATTCACAAACTGTTAGATACTTAATTGTACAAGATATCCTTCTAATTGTTTATGCCTGTATTTATTATTAGGATAATAACAAACTTTAGTACAGTCAAAAGTCTTTAATCCGGACATCCATAATCCGGAATGATCTATAATCCGGACCTCAAAGCTACAAATTTTCCGCGCATGCGTTTACGCATATGCATAATACGTTTACGCATGCGCGTTTAATGTATAACGGACGGTATAAGCTAAGCTAAAATAATCTATTTCAGTTAATGTTGCAGATTGTGTTGTTCCTTAATCTTCTAATTGGATACGGCTTATTATTTTCTTTTAGACTATTAGAGCAATTTAATAAAAGTAAGTTGGAACTTTCGATATGTCAAAAATTCGTTCTGGGGGATTTACAAACGAAAGCATGTTTCATGTCCATCAAACAAAAAGTGAATTGCTGCAAAAAATGGATAAAGGCATATCCTTTGTTTCTATAACATTCTGGAATCTGTTTATCAATTTCACGCTGCTCTGCAGGGCGGGGGGACGTCGTGGCGCGCAATGAACTGGAAGTTGATCTGTCAGCACAATCCTTATCTTCAAGGCAGATGTTTTTATTTTATTTGGCTTATAATTCCTTACTAAATGTAGTACAGTCAAAAGTCGTTAATCCAGACACCCATAATCCGGAATGATCTATAATCCAGACCTTAAAGCTACAGACTTTCTGCACATGCGTTAACGCATAATATGTTGGAAAATATAGCTTATTGTAAACCTTTTACGGCATCATCTCTACTCCTTGAAATGTTTATTTAGTTTAGTTCTTATTTTAAAGTAATATATTAGTTACTTCTACTTTTTCTTACTGCCACTGTTTGCGTTGAGAACGGACTGTTTCAGCCAAGGAGGTTAGAATAGAAGGAGGGAAGGTTCAACTCAAACCGTGAAGCTTAGCGGCCATCTTCCTGTTATCACCGTGACTTGTGCAAGGAAGTCTGTCATTGCAACATTTTTTTCTTTTCTTTTTGAAGCATGTCAGCTTGTGTTGCATATGGGTGCACAAATAGATTCTCGAAAAAAATTCTGGGCGTTATTTTTCACACGTAAGTATTGATTTTCTTATTTTTATGTAATACGACAACTATGTCAAAAAATATCACGTCATGTTGTTTTCTTTCCAGATGTGAAAAAAAAGGGACTTAAATAATCAAAATAGGTTACGTAATATAACTATAATCAAAATATGTTAAATACATTTCAATGTTTCTGTTTATAGCTGGTATCTTCGTTACTTAAGATACAATGCTATATGGTAGGATTTAAATTGTAAAATTTGAAACTTTTAGTTAATTCGTTTTATAACTTTCATGAAAGTAAGAAATCAATTGTTACTATTTTATTAATTGTAAAGGTGTTAATAAAGCAATGCTTTTCTTTATATATTAATTATTATTCATTTTTTTAAGTTAAGATAAACTGTTCTGTTGTTAAAAATTTTTTGCATAAACTTACAAATTTCTGGGCAGTATAGTGATAAAATTAAGTAAAATATTTACACCATGAACATGTGGAAGATGTATCCAAAAACTTATATAGGTGTATTCCTGTAATTCAACTTAATTAAGGCAGTTTCTTTGAGATTACTAAATATGAAATGCGCATAAACTGAAATCAATGAATTCACATAAATCTGTTTTATTTTAAGATTTATTTTCAACCTAAGCAAACCGTGAAATATGCAGAAAACATCATTTTTTAAAGGCTTTAATGTTATGCGCATGCATTTAGATTTCGAACTATTTCTTAATAATTTGCTGTAATAGTAATTAGGATATCATCTTTATTACTTTAAAACAAAAATTCAACAATAGCGAGGGATTTCATTATAAATTTAACATATTTTTACTGGAAAATAAATGCACAGAACAGCTTAGAAACACGTACATATCACTGCCGTAATGCAATGTTTTGAAGTCACAAACATGGACGTCGCTTGTTCGGCGGAGTTTCATTCCCCGATAGTGGAGGAAACTGCGAACCCTCCCTCCTTCTATTCTAACCTCCTTGGTTTCAGCCTAATTGAGATTCAAAAACGAAACGTGATGTTACGTCATCTGAAAAGCCGATTCGTCCCGATAGCTGATTGGTTGCCGTGAGATGACGTCATTCCTACTTCTGCTATAAGTATCTCGCGTCGCTCTGGCTCAAATACTGGCTCTCCAAAAATACTGGCATTCAATACGTGAACAAACGTATCCTAAACAGAAATTATGCAGTTTTATATGAAATTAGCTACACTGTCAATAGGTCCACGCTTAATGATCAAAAAGGCACCTGAAAATTAAATTGAGTCCTTGAGAGCACTTAAATCCGGCCTAACTTCCGCTCACTGTAGTTGAACACGAGGAATCATAGCCTAGTAAAACATCGCCGCTAACTTATGTTAAATGCCGCCTTCAAGAAGAACATGGATGCCGCCCACGGCAGTCACTCACATTGTAGCCTTGGAACCAAGGAACTTATTCTGAAAGGTCATCTTGTATACAGGAACCAAGGAACATATTCAGGAATAGTCATCTTGTGGACAGGAACCAAGGAACTTATTCACCGGATGGCACGCATCCTTCAAAAGGGGCTGGAAACCGCACACCCAAGAGCCAGGAACTAGAAGGGCTGAGCTTGGATATGGATCATATCTTTACTGCTGGCTTTAGCTACTAGGAGCTCTTACGAGTAT